CGACCCCCAACGGCGCCTGGCAGGTAGCGTGGGGTTGGAAGGTCCTGGCCGGGCTGGGAACTCGTCCTGCTGTGGCATGGAGGTGCATCGCATCCCCCCTTGCTTCATGGGGCAGCTGCCGAGGGCGAAGCTGCTGCGTGCCAGGAGCGTGGTGGGGCCCCAAGCCGGGAGCTGATCCCTGGGGTGGGCACAGGGGTCTGGGCATCTTGCCTGGCCCCTCCTACAGGGACGAGCCTGGGGCTGAGCCACTGGCACGCGGTGGACAGGGAGCCCCGCATCCCGGCGGGGCAGCTGCTGAGGGTCCCAGGGGGTTCCCACCGAGCGAACACTGGCTGCAGTCACTGCCTGGAGCCGGTGGCCGTGCTCCATGTCCCACAGGTGCCACGATGGCTATGACGGTGTTGGGCTGGGGCACGCAGTGGGAGAGGAGGAGGACTGGGGCCAAGTACACAGGGCGTCCTGGGCTGATGGTAAGGCCGGCGTGTCTCCGGGACTGTGGCTGCCTCATGGCAGGACACCGGCGAGTGCTGCGGTGCTGGGTGCCACGGAGGGGCTGGTGGCCCCTCAGGGAGTGCGCGGGTGGCGGGAGCACGTCAGCTCTGACCTCAGCAGTGCTGTGAGGAAGGAGGGCAGGAAGCGGGGGCGGCTGAAGCTGCACGGGCGCTTCCTCCCCGCAGCAGCACGGTGCACTGCAGGCAAGCCCAGGCAGGGGCCCTCCTCCCCAGCAGCCCCTTGCACCCCTCCGCATGCAAGGCGGCGATGGGGGTCCCACATGGGGATGGGGATGGGGATGTGCTGGCAGTGCAGTGGGGCTCGCTGGCAGTGGCTGGCAGCACCGCAGTCCCTGGGAGCGGGGCCAGCCGGAGCCCTCAGCAAGGCGGGTGCTGGCTGGGGGTCACAGGCTGTGCACCGCACTGGGGGCCTGGCCGGGGGTTTAAAAATAACCGGCTGTGAATGCCCGGCGGGGCTGGGGCCGCAGCCGCGGCCGGTACACAATCGGAGGAAACGCGCCGGCATCGAGCATTGTTTCGCCGCAGACGCTCGCTTCCTCCGTCCTGCCGTGGGGACGCTGCTCTCGCCGGCACAAAGGGGCTGTGGCGCAGGAGCACGGCCTCCCTGGCACCCGGCAAGGTGCGGGTGGCATGGGCACAGGTGGCTGTCCCCCGGCTCCCCCTCCCTGTGCCCAGGCATGTGCAGCCTTCCCGGGGTCCCTGCTCAGTGCAGCAGAGTGGGGAGGGGGCTCTGCGGTGCAGAACCCCCTCCCTCGTGGACGTATCCTGCTCATGCTGCTTTCCCTGCGCCCGCTCTGGCCTCAACACTGCCTGCAAGTGGTGTGCCAGCAGCAGCTGGGGATGGGAAGGGGGGGGTCCCTGCTGCTCGTGGTGCTGTCTGTCCCTCCCACTAGCATGCCATGGCCAGTGGCCCCCAGGTAGCCTGTGCCCAGCTGATGCGTGCTCCCGCAGGTATGCCACCATGCAGAGTGCCGGCAGCTGAACCGCAGCGGTCCCCTCAGCCTGTGTGAGCTCTGTGACGGCCGCGTCCATGGCACCATGCACTTCAACAGCCACATTCGCTTCAACCTGCCCCCACAAGGTGAGCCGGGCTGGATGTGGCTGGCACCGGGGCTCCCGGCGGCTCTGCGACAGCGGGATGCACTTGGAGCCGGCATGATGCGGCAATGGGAATGGGATGCACTTGAGGCTGGTGTAGCACAGGAATGGGAGTGGGATGCAGCTGGAGCTGGCATGGGGCTGGGGGTCCCAGCACAGCCCAGCTCAATGCCCGTTTGCAGGCTCCATCTTGGCCCGCAACATGTCAACACGCTCGTGTCCCCCGCGCACCAGCCCTGCCTCCGATGTGGAGGAGGAGGAGGAGGAGGGACCGGCGGATAGCAGAGGGTGAGCCCCCAGCCCTGCATGTCCCCTGCACATCCCCAGCCTGCGGCGTCCCCGTCACCCTGCCCACCCTGTGCCCACAGGGAGCGGAGGAGCTCGGCGCTGAAGCTGCCCAAGAAGAAGGCTCGGCGCAGGCACACGGATGTAAGGCACCAGCCCCTCTCCCTGGGGTGCTCTGCAGGGCAGCGGCGTGGCCCTGGTGGGCGGGAGGGACCCCTGGGCAAGTGGCTGCTACCTCCCCCCAGGACCCCAGCAAAGAGTGCTTCACCCTGAAGTTTGACCTCAGCGTCAACATCGAGGCGGAGATCGTGCCGGCTGCGAAGAAGAAGTCCCTGGGGTGAGTCTGCCAGGGACGGATGCAGGGATGGATGCGGGGATGGACGTGGAGACGGACATGGGGCTTGTGTCCCCGCAGGGAGGTGCTGCTGCCGGTCTTTGAGAGGAAGGCGATTGAGCCAGGCAAGGTGGACGTCTACCTGGACCAGTCCCACACGCCGCTCTCCCTCCAGTTCGAGGCGTACCACTTCGGGGGGCACTACCTGCGGGTGAAAGGTGTGGCGGGGGCCTGGCGGGAGGCTCGGCCACACTGGGGCTCCTGGGGGACTCTGATCACCCGATGCTCCCGCAGCCAAGCCTGGGGATGAGCTGAAGGTGGAGCAGACAGCGCGGGATGCCAGGTCGGTCAGCCTGCCCATCCTGCACCCCGTCAGCACCACCATGCTCCTCGGGCCAGCACCAGAGCTGGTGCTGGGACACCGGGAGGGTGCCGACAGCCTGGTGAGTGCCGGTGCCAGCCCCGGGGGAAGGAATTGGGGAAGGGGTGGTGGGGTGCGGGATCTCCCCGTAGCCATCCTTGCTGGGAAGATGGGGACATGGGGCAGCAGCATGGCATCTCCTGGATGGCCTTGTGTGGTGTGGGCTGAAGACCCCCCTGGAGCCCCTAAGAGCCAGTTTGGCTCCTGGCTGTGCCGTGCCGGCTGTGCCATGCCGGCTGTGCTGTGGTGGCAGTGCATGGGTGGTGCCCTGTGCCAGGCGTGGCAGCTCAGCCGGTGGCACTGGCCCCGTGGCCATGCTACGTGCAGGCTGGCACCAGGG